AGCCTATACATCCTTAAATAACGTAATACTGAATAAGAATGAAACTTTTTTCTTAGGATTTAATGAGACTTTTCTTTCTATCAACTTCTGGAATCAATAAGGGTAAATCCACGAGATCTATTGACCGTCTTTAATATACTTCTTTTAATTACGCATCACCACATTGTTACCAAACTTATTTCGTTTATCATGTGTATCACGATTTCATTGATTCCACGTGTGAAAGGCATCAAACGCCTGCGAAAGTTTTCCCAGGCTTTGATACGAATTAACAAAAGAAATAATATTATCGTATTAAAAATACTCGATCCAACGTGGAAAATAATTAATGACGTGTAATATAAGTTAAAAGCATTATCATTTTAAGGTAATTACAAGCAGCTGACAGAGAAATGCTAGAAACAATTTATAACATTCCTTATCACATTTAGTTCTTAATCATTTGTAAAAGGATCCGTGAGACTGAGAAGCTTCGTTCTGAAAAATGAAGTACGAAATTGATCATCCTATATAATAATCTAATGATAATGATTCGAGAAGGGGAGGCGTGGTAGATAAATTGTATTAATTGTTTATCGGACGCTACTTCATAAAAGGGTATATCGATTGGCTGGGCGATCTTTATGAAACGAGTGAATTCGAGTTAAAAAGGATATCTTCAATTGCTCGCGAAGCGGCAGTAATATCTTTTCTTTACATCCCACAGATTCCATGTTGTTTGCGGAAACGTTTCATAAAATCGACACGGTAAACCCGCGTTTCCAAGCCAGTTTGATTGTACTTCCGCGAGATTTTATTAGCTGCCAAGGAGACGGTCGCTCGGAAAAAATGTTCATCGTAAATTAATTTATTCTTATATTTTATAGACGACTCGTAGCTCCGTCTCAAAACGCCTACTATCAAAATTGCCCATCCTCGGAATTCGAATCTAGGTCAATTATTCGAATAATTTGAATGTTTACTGTAATAAGTTCTTATGACTTCGTAATAAGAAACTAATAAACTGCAAATTGCAAAATATATTTTATATAAGTCTCGTTCCTTTTACCTTTTTTCAAATGTATATCATATTCGATCTAGCTGCGTGTAGCGTTTGTTATTATATAACCGTTTGCCCCATTGTGTGTTTTTAATGTACGTATTTCCTCCATATTGTTTTATATAGAAGTAGGTAACGTGAACAGGATATCACAATTGTCAGGATACTTTTATAAAACCTGGATTTTTGTGGACACGTCAATCATACATAGTATTTCATATTAATAAAATGTAGGATTTATGAATTCGTGGAATACTCAAGAAGGGGACTTTTCAAAGATTTAATCTAGTATACAAACACATGAGAAAATCCGTTCGTCGAATGCGTATGTACTTAACAACTGGCGTTCAAGTGAATTAGCTTGGGACGATGAGAGCTGTAGGAGATTATACACTCAGCTCATTATGTTTTGGGCGAAAATAAATTCAGACGAGTATGTATTGTCAGTGGTCAACCGCGAGCGATGTGTAGGTGTAGTCAAAATAAAAGATAGAATTTTATTCCTTGCAGTTAGCTTAACATTTAATTGGAGCTACTTTTTATATTAAGTCGCGTCTCTTTTTAAAACAGGGACACCTGTAGAAATTTTAATCTATACAAGAATGCATATTCCTCTAATATGTAAAAACTGTAATAATATATGTATATAATCTGCTATAAAAATTATTTCACTCGAATCAGAGTTCGGTTTGATGAAAAAGGGGACATGTCAATATTAAAAAAGTTTTACCTCATGACGAGCTGTAATGGTCCGAATGACAGCCGTAATACACAGGTGATTCTTTATGATGTTTGAAAATAAAGTTTGTAACAGTCTTTTAAAAACCTTTTTGAAGAGCCATTACTGTCTGTTGATATTTCACTTGGCAAATATTTATTCGAAACAAAATGTAAAATACATCAGACAGTTCTTATTTAATTTTAAAATTACGGAAGCTCTATTTTATCGTTTCATTTATAACAGAAATTTGTCCCGACGTGTTTTGATTTAAAATATGGTTAACATATTTGTTTCAAGAATAAGAGACGATGAGGTATAGGAGGAAGCTTATTACCCTTTATTGATGAAGTTAGATAAGCGAACTTTCTAATGTTACCAATTACTGCTCCTTTATTATCTTCTGTTAAAGAGGATCTCGTCTAGACGATTGTTTAAAAATAATGATGCAATGATATTGAAACTGAGAGTAAGTGAAATTTTTATTGATCTTACAAATAATCGTATGTCCAAAAATTATACGTCATTCTGATAGTTATCTACTCCCTTCGTTGCTCGAACGGGAACATATGTTCGTATTTATGAATTTTAAACTGATTTTACGAGTCGAATATTCACAGTGTCTCTCAACAGGTTGTTACACTCACGAGTCACGAAATGTTTTATGTCAGACTGACATTTTATAAAATAATATTTTTTGTAAGCCAAGCTATCAAGGTGTAAAAGGTTGAATAAGTTCGGAAACAAAAATCGCATATTTTTAATCAAATATTTAAATGTTCTAGACAAATGTTATTTTAAGTTATTTTAAGACATGTTTCCATATTTTCTTTTCCTGTACTTTAAAACGAAATTAATTTCATGGGTCTCTTGTACATAAATGGAAACATTTTGTTAGTCGTATTAAAATTAGAAAAGTATTCGAAGTGAGATAATTAGAGAAACACTGGAAAGAACACGTACGAGTACTGAACTCTCGTTCCCTCTTTATCTTTTAGTTAATTCTTTTATTTTACACGTGTTTGCTTGGCTTATCGCTCATTTCCTCCCCCTTTTTCTATTGATTTTCACTTTTGCGTAATATCCAACAAAATGAATAAACGTCAAACCGCGTATACATATTCATGTGCAAGCATATACATATGCAAATGGAACACTCTGAAAAAGAGAATTTCATTCATTACTCTCTCTTGTGAAACGTTTAAAACTGCAGCTGTTTCCAACAATATCTCAGTGTGAGACTTGTCGTTCTTTTAACGATTAATTAATTGATGCTAGATTGTTTAATATCAATTATTTTACTCCTAATGAAACTGTAACATAATTCAACGATTCGAAGATTGCTTTATCTTCCTTGTATTAAATTTCATAAATCCTGTTATCTTCTCTCAAGAATTTTACGACATTACATTTATTCGATGTATTTTATTCACGTGTTTTATACGTTCTCATAAATCACCTCCCCTACCTTCGCTTCAATGTTACACTAATTAACAGGTAAATCTATACTTGTCAGACTGAAATATTCTTCGAAGTAAAACATATGAGACTAAATGTATTATTTCCGATGCATTAATACTTATACTTCCTATCATTATTGCAAATATGTATATTAAGGGACCTAGGGTCATTTTTGAGAACTTTTTTTAAAAAACGTATTCTATGGAATTTTTTTAAACTTTATGGATGTATTTGCCTATAAATGAACTGTACATCATACAGTTCGCTAGGGTGCCTGAAATGAAAAAAGACAAAGACGCTCTTAAACTAGATGACTGAATGAAGATGATACATGATTGAACCTACGTAACTTTACTCCTGAACGAAAGAAATAACTGAAAAGTAGTTTTAACAAAAAGATAGTATTTATAAAAAATGGTTGACGATCATTTTTTAAAAATTATTGAAGTTTGTATACCCATTGAGAGGCAATCAGAAATAAACTTATTGTTACCTAAAATACCTATGCATAGTTCAATGCACTGTTATCTACAAATATTGACTATCTGCTTCTGATGATCTTTCTAATGTATAAATTGACGTAACTGAGTCATTTGATTATTCCAGTTGCACGCTACCAACTATATCTGCTATAAACTCTATTAGTATTCAGTGGATTTAGATTTTATCTTCTTCTTCGTCTGGAATGCATTTCTTAATTACTGTTAGGAATCCGCAGTCCAGTAAGACTAGGAAACACAGCGCTTTCAAATTCAAATTTAAGGAAGAACGATACACACTGCTGATCTGTACAAACGTAGTAAGAGTCGAGGAACGAGAAAATGTTCGTTCCGTGGCGATGGTCAGGGAAACGGGAAAAGGAATGAAAGGATAATGGCAAGGAAGAGGCTACGTTTCCCTCGGCCATACAATGCTACGTTCGAGGTGGGGAACGATCGGCAGAGGCTAGAAGAGCGGCAACGAACAGGCCCCCGGCGAGAGGAGGCAGGAAGGTGATCGTCCCTTGGACAGACGAGAACGATCGCTCGTTTCAGAAGGAGAGAGCCAACGGAGGAGAACGGTCATTGCCA